TAGGGACCAAATTTGATCATGTTAATTTGTAAGGGACGTAAAATTATATTTTAAAAAATGAGAAACGAAAAAATTATTTTATAAAATATGAAAGACGTATTAAATGATTTTTTCAATATGAACCATAGGATTTTTGCTATGAGCCATAGGAAAACACTGTCATTCCTCTATAAATACATTGCTATGGGTAATTTTTTCACCAGAAAAAGAAAAAATCAAAATAACATTTGGAGATAACTACGGGCTCCAAGCCATCTTCTTTCAGCTCCGGACAAAAGCATCAGAAAACTTACCTCATTCACCGAATGATACATGTACCATCAACATAATGGTCTCCGTTTTGCAGCTTTTCGGCGCTTCAAATTTTTGGCAAGAGCTTCCGAGGCCGTAGGATGAAAGAAAATTGCAGACCTGCCCTCCAATTTGTACCTCTTCTTGATGGATGTTGCTGCTCCGCAGATTTGAATGACGGATTTGGGATGGAATTTGGGTTCAATTTGCAGTTCCCAATTTTGTCGTTTCTTAGTCTGATTAAATGAGCTAATATGCAAAGAAAGAAAATAAAGAAGATTCTAACATTATCGTATTACTTTAAAGTTGTCGGTATTAGGATTAGAATTGAGTGATAAACAGAAAAATAAAATGATTTTAAAATAATAAAAATACTTAATTCTTTCTTATTTTTATTTTTTGAAAAAAAATTGACCTCTCTCTCTCTCTCTCTCACTCCCTCTCCCCCCTTTTAATCTTTATATATATTTTTCAATATTAATAAAATTACCAAGGAAAAAGAGATTAATACTTGCCACTCTAAATTTTTTATTATTCAAAGAGGAGAGTATTTTCTTCTAAAATTTATGATTATTTTATCTACAATCCCAATTCTAGTTTCTTGAAGTACTATGTTAATTAACTTTATGATTACTCATCTACAAATTCGATATTAATTTAAAAGTCACCATGTTACATATAAGATTACTTATCTAATTTCTAAATTTAAATTAAAATCTACTTGGTCAATTATGTCATGATTCTAGTTTCTTGAAGTACTGTGTTAATTATGTTTCTAATAAATCATCTATAATTTTGATTCTAATTAAAAAGTTACTATCTATTCAACATATAAAGTTAGAGAGATCGCAGTTAGTGTAAATTTTTTTATGTCATTTTTAAAATTTTTTATTTTATCCTTAAAGAAAAACTAATTTTTGCTTTGACTACTTAATCACATTTTGCCAATATAACTACTGTAACTACTCTAAACAATGGCTGTGTTTTAAATGGGTCTCACCTTCTTACTTTATCGTCAAGTGTATTTGTTTGGATATGTATATTAATTTGAACACAAGATTGTAATTGACATTTGTCTAGATATCGTTGCTTGCTCATCTTAAGGGGCTAACGGCAAATACTAGTATAAATTGGGTTGGGTAGTCAAATGAATAAAGAATGTCCCAAACAGGACAGTAAGAGTCATTATTAATTTATGATATGAATAGAATCAAACGGTTATATAGGATTTTCAAAAAATTATTATTTTACTATTTTATCAAAATTATTAATTTAACTCGTTAACCAAGTCAAAATCAAAAACTTATTATTTAATAGAAGTTATTAACTCATCGAGTACTAATTTATAGAGGTTTTAAAGGTCATTTGTGAAAATTTTAAAGGTCATTTTAAAGATCAGTGTATATAAGATTTACTCTTATAAAAATTAGTTTCTGTAATGGATATTTATGATATGGTAATTTTATATAGTGTTTTGTTATTTGGTACTTGATTTCAATTGGATAATTACTAACATAAATTAAGTTCTTATTTAAAAATAGAAAATAGAAGGGTATGTAACCAACTAATTAACAAAGCCACCCTTGAATAGGGATGTAAGCGAGCCGAGCCATGCGAGTAACTCGGTCAACGACTTGGCTTGAACTCGGTCAAATCGAGTTCGAGCACAGTCTCGAGCCACTCGAATATACTTTCGAGTCGAGTTCGAGTCAGGAATCTGCAGCTTGTGGCTCGACGAGTAGCTAGTTGAGTCGGATATATTAAATTAATATATATAATTTAAATAATATATATGTATTATAATTATGAAATGACCTTTATGGGTATAATTTATACTGAATTTACAAGTGTACATTTTTTAAGTCAAGTCAAAAAGCTTGATTAGACTCGACTTGATAAGGCTTGCATAAAAGTCGAGCCTTATCGAGTCGAGTCTCGAGTTTAAAGGGAGTTCATTGAGTCAAGTCTCGAGTATCGATTATTTGGACTCGGTCAAGCTCGAGCCTAGGTACATATGAGTCGAGTTGCGCTCGAGTATAGCAATACTCGACCTTGACTTGACTCGATTACATCCCTAGTATTTGAGAGAAAATAATTAAATACTCTAAGGATATAAATGAAAGTTTAGAAAATATTAAATGTGTGTTGACACGACACGATAATGCTTCCATCCTTTGACTTTATAATTTATATAGATAGTATAGAAATGGTCAAATCTTTCCTCTGCTAATAATAGATATACTAGTCGCGTGGATGCATCACATGTACAAATTTTCAAATTAAATTCAAATTTAGATTACATGTCATGTATCACATGTTCAAAATTTAAATTGAATTCTAATCTCAGTGAGTTTTGAGTCAGTGGATTCGAATGACTCATTTAAATCTAAATGCATATTAAAACTCAACTATTCATGGGGTTAAGTAAATCCACTAAGTATTTTTAAAATTTGTTAGACACATTTATTGTTACTTTGTTTTCTTTTACTTTTCCCCTTCTCTTTTTTTCTTCTTATTTTGAAAAATAAGAAACCTTTTCAATTGTTGTGTAAATGATTTCTCATGTTAATACACAAATCCATTTTAACTCTTGTAATATTTCATCAACTGAAACTCGCCACAATTACCATTTATATTATGGTACAAATTTTCATTGGGTCTTTTCTTTTTGATTTGGATAAAAAATTTATTTACTAAAATAATATGTCTTTAATTTTTTATTTTAATAAAATATTGTTACTTATGTTTAAACAATATACGGGAACCTTTTTTTTTTTCCTTTTTAGATCAGATGGTAGTTCATGTATGATAATTTATCATAAAATGCATAATAGGCAGATAAGGACCATAAAGTTGAGACCCAAGAATTACAGATCTTAGATTCAAATTCCTCTGCCCACCCACTATTTCTTAAATCCTACCTCTTTCCTATTAAATTTTTTTAAATGTACGGACTTAACTCTTACATGCATAAGCAAAATCTAATTTTCATCCAATTTCTAATTAAATATTTATTCATAATACTAACAACTTATTGCTTTCGTCAGTTATTCATATACCGTGTCTTCCTAGTCGAGGGAATCTGGAAATCCTGATGCAATTAATAACTTTTTGGCTTCATGAATTACTTCTCTCATTTCATTTTCCATTTCTCTAAGATTATGTGATTTATATACAAAATGTCATGCGAGAGTAGGATAAACTTACATGTATATATAAGCAAGTGTGTGTGTATATATACATATGCTGATGATAAGTCAAACAATCCTAAGGCTCTAGAATTTAGAATACAAAGTTTTAATTTAAAGGCGCTATCATTTAAATTCGAAATTTTCAGTTTAGAGTCCGAATTTTCAATCTAAAGGCGTCAACATTTAAAGAAAAAAATTTCGATCTAACCCGCAACTACCAAACTCCAAATTTTCATTTGAGAAGGCGGTAACTAGAGCTGTTAAGTCAATCGAGTAGCTCGAAAGCTCGTTAGAGCTCGCCTCGGTAAGGCTCGAGCTCGAAACATGCTCGTTTAGTTAACGAGCCGAGTAAGCTCGGCTCGTTTGATACTCAAGTGGCTCGTTTGATACTCAAATAGCTCGTTAGAGTTCGTTAATGAAGGGCATATTTATCATTTTAGAAATCAAAATTATAAAATTTAAAAATTATAGGTTTTTATTAAGGTTAATTTGCACGAGCTCGAGCTCAAGCTCGTAAAGCTCGACTCGTTTATGATAAACGAGTCAAACTCGAGCCACATGTACATTTAACGAGCCGAGTTCGAACACATTTTAAAGCTTGTTTTCCTAATGAGCTCGAGTCGAGCTCGGCAGCCAAATACTCAGCTCGACTCGGCTCGATTAACAGCTCTAGCGGCAACTACTAGTCCCCCAAAATCTTCTATTGAATATTGCATAGATTGAGAAATAATTGAACTCCATTATTGGATATACATAATCGTTAATTTTGAAAAATTTATTTATAATGGATAAGTACCACCCCGTAACTTGAAATAATAATAAAAAAATTTAAATACTCTTTTGTGTAAAACAAAAGGCATATTGAATAAATTTCCCAAATTGGTGATCAGGAGTGAGTATGGAGGCAATATTTAAAAAATGGTCTCAGACAAGTAAATTTTAATAGGTCAGCGCAGCTCGGGTGAGGAGTGGAGATGAACATACATTTGAACTCGGACAACAACTGGGATCAGCTAGGCAACAGGTGGATTTTGCAATTTGTCTTCCGAGCAAAATGCACTCTTATTTTTTGATTATTATTGGCACATTGTTCTATCCGGTCTCCGGTATCTCTTTTTCATGTTGTCCCTTTGTTTAGCTCCAGTGATGTGTTGTCCTCATTTCCTTTGTTCTTCCCACCATGGACAGATGACTCAGCTTCCACCGCAGATGAAACCACATTGAGATAATGTATTTTGCTTACAAATTACGTGTCAGAAATTTTAAACTTTTGTTGGCAAAGCACTACCTACCCCATCATGCACCCTAAGGGCAGTAAGGGGCACACCGCAGAACAACTATATATTACGTCAGTTTTAGAGATTTAAAATTTGAACTAGCACAAATTGATTTACTTGATAAAAATGAAATAATTTCTTACAAAAAAATCATGTGTAAATTTCTATACATGACATAGAATTTCGAGGCAAATATCTTGACTCATAACGGTGATTAAAGTTAAACCCACCCATACTATTGAGTTGTCATAAAAAAAAAAAAAAAGAGCTTCAAAATTTGCGGCACGTCCAATTTGTTAAATCTCCAAAAATTTAACTATTTAAGTGGGCAGCTGAGCACAGGAACTGTGTTTCCTTGGTGTCCATGCAGATCCGGGAGCTTGTGCAACTAAAATATTTTCCTTCAGTTCTTAGAAACCAGAGAGTTGACAAGGTAACAACTCCTCCATACTAGGTCTGTGGAGTGTAAACTTAGACACCATGTGGAAACAGAAACAGAGGAGTCTTATGGATTCTTCTGCTCCTCTGATTATACTGCTAATGTTGCTAATGCTGTTGCAACTTCTGGCTGTAATGGCAATAGCCAGAGTGGAGAATTTTACAAGATCAGACTTCCCAGTTGACTTTATCTTTGGTGCCGGCAGTTCAGCATTTCAAGTCAGTGGTTTCTCCGTTTCATTTGATTTAATTCCTTCACACCTAGTTCTTTTTCTGGAACAGGATTAGTAGTTATAGTGTATAATGAATAACATGAATACGGTAACATGATAATCATATGCATATGTATAGGTAGAGGGGGCTGCCCGTGAAGATGGAAGGACGCCTAGCATTTGGGATACCTTCGTTTATGCCAATAAGGGTAAGTTTGTCGAAAAATAAATTTTTTGGGTATGACTATTGGGTACCAATAGTCATAGGTTTTAGGTGTTAGCTTTTTTGAAAAAGAAAAAAATTAAGTGTTAAGAGAAATGACTGGGCTTCAAATGGTGAGTTGGACGAAAATTAGGTATACTGAGACGAGTTGGCAGAAGTTAATCAGAAAAACTCAAATTTTGTATTTTTTAAAGTTTATTTATTGTTTTGTTAATTTGTAACTTAGGCTTTAATCACCAATAAAATGTTCAGGGCTTTCTCATGGAGCCTCCGGAGACATAGCTTGTGATCAGTATCACAAATACAAGGTAAACATTTCAGTCATGTTTTAGGCTTTCTGGCCTAGTGGTGGCATTGGAACTTCAATAGCAAATCTAACTTCATCTAATGGTGTTCCTAAATAGCTCTGCTGACAATTAGTGGAAATTATCTCCTAAAATGAATTATGTGAGGTGGAGATTGAAAATATTCTATTGCTGAGAGACACATGGGTGAATTGTGCAGGTGTACATGTTTATAGTTAGTATCTTTACTTGTTTTCTTAGTATCGACTTCCTTTGTTGTGTTAGTTTCTACATTGTCCTGAGCAGTTGGAAAGACCAATGGCTGTGGCATCTGATCCCCCAAATATGAGACTTAGTTGATGATTAGATGTTTGTTAGCCTGCCCATCTTTTGATTTTTTATAGTAGTGGAAAGTAATTGGTCTTCTATGAAATCCGTTTTTCTAATGGTTAATATTTGAGCATAGAAGCTTTAAGTTAAGCTATTTAAACTTTTTAATTGGCAGCAGATTGTTACACTTAAAACCAGAAAAAATGAGATATACTTTTATGCTTCATATACACCAAAATTAATTGCTGATAATATCAGATATTGAATCAAATTCTTATCTCTCTTCTTTCCACCTCTTCCTACCAAAGCTGAACAAAGGAATCTAAAGTAGTTCTCAACTTTGTGACTTGGTTGGTGAACAGTGTCCTTTTATATTCACTATTATCCCAAGCAGATGAAGCATCTGAATGTCAACTTTGTAGTTTGTACGTACAATTACAAATGCAACCTGTTCTCTTTTCTGATAACAATTCTTTTAGGGCATTATATAGTTGTTTTACTAAGAAGCAATGCAACAGTGAGCAGCAGCATAGCTGGACGTTGCTCTATTCAACCAAAGACAAACTCGTTAAGCAAAACAAAACAACCTGCTACCATTATCATCATTATTATCACACTAAATGTTCATGCCTCGGCTATTCTTAGGGAATCATAGATTGACTTAGACATCACATTAATAGAAGCCCCTAAATCTATCATGGCATTCTTGATACTAGAATGACCAAACTTATAGGGAATAGTAAATAAACCTGGATCCCCGCATTTGGGTGGGAGTTTCTTTTGAAGTACAGTTGATACATTTTCTTCTACCATCACTTTCTCATCACCTCTTAGCTTTCTTTTGTTAACGCACAAGTCTTTCAAGAACTTTGCATACTTGGGTACCTGCTTGTTCGCGTCCAATCGGGGGATGCTTACTTGAACTTTGCGGAACACATCCAGGATTTTTTTTCCTTTTCTGCCCTCTCTGTCTTTTTCAACCTGCAAGGAAAAGGAGATAGATTAGATTTAATAGGGATCGAAGGAATAGATGTTACCTTAGGCTCTTCGCGAATACGCCATTCCTCTTCAATTCACTTTTCTATCGCCTCCTCACTTTTGCTTTTCGAATTTACCAATTTAAGTCCCTCCACCTCTTTGCCACTCCTTAGTGTCATGGTGCTTACATTTCTGGGATTGGTCTCGGGTTGTGATGGCAGTTTCTCATAAACGTGGGACTCCAAGCGATTAATAGCAGTTGCCATTTGACTCATTCGAGTCTCCATGTCTTTCATACTTGCTCTGGTGTCCTGCTGAAACTGCGTAGTATTCGTGACAAGAGCCCTAGTCTCCTGCTGGAGCTGAGTGGTAGTCGTGACCAAACTCTTGACAATTTCCTCCAAGGAACTTCCTGAGTTAGATGATAAAGGTTGTGGCTTTGGTTGCCATAGTTGCTGAAATCCTGGTGGACGATTGGAGAATGAATTATGTGGCCTATTACCATAGCTGAAGTTGGGGTGATCCCTCCAATCCGGATTGTACGTGTTGGAGTATGGGTCATACTACCTACGAGGCACGGACACATCTCCAACCATGTTCACTTGTTCAACTTCATCCTCTTGCAACAAAGGGCATGAGTCAGTGGGATGGCTCACATTTGTGTAAATTCCAAAGGCATTTGCTTGATGCATGTTTCCCATAGGTAATTGTTGTACAAAAGATGTCAGCTCCGATATCTGCTGTTGAATGAACGACGTCTCTACCTCATTGACTCTACGGGTATGGTTATTCTCACGGAAGCTAAACTGTTGAGAATTCTCTGCCATCGATTCAATGAGTAACCATGCTTCCCTTGGTGTCTTGTTTGCCAATGCTCCCCCACTCGCAGCATCAATGATCCTCCTATCGGACGCCTGGAGTCCCTCGTAGAAATATTGGATCAATAGTTGTTCACTAATTTGATACTGTGGGCATCTAGTGCATAACTTATTGAACCTCTCCCAATAGTCATATAAGAATTCTCCAGGATACTGCTTAATGCTGCATATCTCTCTTCTTAGACTTACAGTCCGGGATGCAAGGAAGAATTTTTCCAAAATTTCTTCTTAAGTTGGGCCCATGTTGTGATACTACCTGCGGGTAGGTAGTATAACCAATCCTTCGTTGCATCCTTGAGGGAAAAAGGGAATGCCCTGAGTTTGATCTGCTCCTCAGTAATTCCTGGAGGTTTCATACTAGAGCATACCACATCGAACTCTTGGATGTGTTTATGGGGCTGTTCACCTGAGAGGCCATGGAAGGTGGGTAGGAGGTGAATTAATCCCGACTTCAATTCGAATGAGATATTTTCAGCCAAAGTTGGGAATGTGATGCACAAAGGCTGCTAGGGCAATTCTAGAGCAGTCAATTCCCCTAGTGTTCTCGCATTTGCCATAGGGATGTCCTCTTGGCCTTGGTCCACTTGAACTATCACCACTTGAATCTGTTAATTCAATCTCAGGATCAAGTCCCTGAGATGTAATAGTAGATTGCTCCTCCCTGAGCTGTCTGGTTTCTTTCCTAGTTCGGCGTGAAGTCTTTTATATTTCTGGATCGAAAATCAATTCACCTGTACGAGAAGAACGAGGCATAAACTAAAAAAATGCCAGACAAATCCAAATAAAACAACTTAGAAAGAAACAAAATTAACCAAAACACCGTTCCCCGGCAATGGCGCCAAAAATTGACGGGTGCCGAATCTGTACAATAATAATTACTAAAAAGTTCTAATTACCACCACAATTAATTATAGAACAAATCCAAGTACTGGAGCAAGGACCCTAGGTGTGCAATGGATTACTTGATTCACCATGTTCCCGAAAAGTTTGTTTGATCCGAATACCAGATTTGTCTATAAAAATATTAATTTTGCGTACAATGGTAAGTAGGGTCGATTCCACAGGGAGCGGGTAGAAAATTATTTCTTTCCAAGTCAATAGAATGAAATCGGGGGATAATTAATGGGATGAAAATAAAAATGAAATAAATAAAATTCAAGAGCTAACTCAAACAAGTACAATTTCTTAAAAATAGCAATTAATAAAATTCTACCCAAAGGATCAACTACTCAAGCACGGTCCAATTAAATCATCATCGATGCAAAGATATTTCATCCATTCATCACTAAGTTGTTTATAGTTATCAACAAGCTCTGATAACCAGTTCTTCCTTACTTTTTCGACAGTCAAGGTACGACCATTGACTGCTTCTCTAACCAGATAACAACCCTAAGTACGACCGTAGGAATTTAATTACCCAATTACATTAAAACTAGAAGAACCCAACCCTAACTAATAAACACGCTAAGAGGATTTATTTAAGTTAGATCTTACGTTTCCCCAACATAAAGCCAATTATGGTGGGTGTCACTAGATATCAACTAAACGAACAATTACGGATTCAATTTAGTTAATGTGACAGTAGGCTATTAAATTAAATCAAATACCCAACCGTTGATATTCAATTAATAAAATACCCATCAACAATTAATTCAGAAAACGCACAAATAGCAGCAAATTGGAAGAAATAATGAAGATTCGATTAGATCTCACAGATATTATGGACCGCGCCTTCGCGTCAACCTTTGGGTAGAGGAGAAAATTAGCCGCTCCTCATCATGTCAAGCTCGCATGATTTGATTAATATTATCCACACAATTGCCCAGAAATTAATTGTCGAGGAATTGGGGAAGGTGAATTAATCGAAAAAATAACAAAGGGAAACCTGGCTTCGTCTTCGTATTGGAGCTGCAATTATAAAGCAAAAGGCTATTCTAATTGCTGCCGAAGAGAAAAAGGGAAAAAGCGTATGACGGTGAAAAGAAACAAAAGCTAGCCTAATTGATTGCTACCTAATAGAAAAGCAAACGTCTGACAGATCTGGCAAAAAAAAACTAAAACTAAGGTATTGATATCACGTGAATCTGGCTTCTTCTTATTTGTAGCGCCGCTAGTAGTAGAAGTCCACCCACATCTGATTCAATTTATCCCACAAAAGCTAACCCTTTTGGAGTTTTAATCCTATGCGTCTGGTCCACGTGGACCCAGCCTTCTAATTGCCCACTTTAGCTGCTACCAAGCCTGTGGGTCCAGCTTTTGGGTGAGTCTCTTTAGTTTCTGGCGTGGGCACGCCATAAAATAAAGAGTTTTCTGAAAATTTGCCTTGTGAAAGCACTTTTTACACCAATCACCTATAATTTACACACAAATATCAAATATGAGTAAAATCCCAATTTTTAGCACCATGAGTAGCCATAATTAGGACAAAATAATAGTGCAAAGTGTGCAAAATAACCGCTCTATCATTATCTTCGTCTCTAGCCTAAATATCTTCGCTTCCAATTCCTCTTGCTGGCCTCCTAATTTCATCATAGCCATCTGCACACCTCGCAATGCGTCAGCTGTTAATTGGTCTGCACAACCTTTTTCAGTTTTTTCTTCATCATATAACTTTCGGTCAACTACTCTCTCAGCCACTATAACATCAACCTACAATAACAAGCCAATTTTAGGAAACTTAATCGACATAAGTATATGATCATTGCATTTATTTTTTACGAAATCCTACCTCATTGCCATCAAATAATCCAGCACCTTGGAGTTCTATTATTCTGAATTTCAAATCAGTTTCAACCCAATACCAGATTCGTGGCATTGGCCTCATGCTCATTAGAATAGGCTTACATCTCCTCAAATTCACATGCTCTAAGTAGAATATCTAGCATCACAAATCGATACCAAGTTAGTTGCCAAAATGTAAATGCAACTCCAACTTTTAAACAGCAAATTGAGCTCACCATCAAGAAAACCATGCAGCCTCCCACTTCTGGAAATGGTTTCTCTACTCTGTTCGCTATGTCGTTGGCCAATTCATCTAAAACGTACTTAGACCAGTTTATCATTTCTAGTAGGTCCACCTTTGCCACCGCAGGAATTAGAGTTCTACTGATGCCATAGCCTATGGGTGGTGCCAGTAATCTACCTATCAAATATAGAACAAATTTCACTTTAAACTCTGCCCCACTGCTATCCAATTGTTGTATGTTCCTCCCCAAATTTACCAAACTGACCTGGTTTCTAGTAACATCTATATTTAGCTCCCTC